TGTACTTCAGTTGTTTTACTAATTAGCAGATGTCCCCTGTTTACTGTTGATAATCCGTGTTTCAACCTGTGAAAATCGGCCTTACCTAAATCTAAAACTACAGTAGTTCATTCATGCCGTTTGCTTTCATGTGCTACTTTTAATTCGATCATATTACGATCACTATTTGTAAATGTTCACGCATAATTAGGTGACTAATTAAATTTGGGTCATTATTCATTACTAAACATAATATTGCTTATTCCCCTGTTATATATGGGACATATTGCAATAGGAAACTATCCCAAGTACACTCCAGAAATTCACTACCTTTCTGACAGATGCTTGTTTGCCTCTCCCAATCTATGTTGAAGTTAAAATCTCCCAATTGATACCATGCTGGTTTTGTTACATACTTGCTTAATTTCTGCTTTTCCATAATATAGCACTTCAGAGTTGCTACCAGGCAGTCTATACACAACACCTATTACAGTCTTACATACTCTACTCTTTCTCAGTTCCACCCATATGGTCTCTACTGAATGCTTTCCCCCGATTATATCCTCCCTCACCATTGAAGTAATTTTGTTTCTAATCACTAAGGCTATTGCATCTCCTCTGCCATTTTCCCTGTCCATTCTATAAACCTTATAACCTGGTATATTTAGTTTCCCATCCTGATCATGCTGCAGCCATGTCTTAGTAATGGCTACTATATCATAATCTCCAATTTGAATTTGAGCCCACAGCACATTTAATTCCTTATGCTCCATATATTCATATACAGAACTCTTATCTGGGCCATACATTGTAACCTGTTCCTCAGCACTGACCCTTTATTCGTCTGTTTATTATTTCTCTCTTCCAGTTTAATCAATATGATCCTTATAGTTTTTCCATTACCTGCCATGCCTGGAGTACTTTACTCTGTCATGTTACTTGATTTTGAAACTATATTGACTTCCCAAGAGCCCTCCTCCCCCTGTCTAAAGTCCCTGTGACCACGACTTAGCCTTTCCGCCAGGACAATGGTCCTAGATTGGTTCAGGTGGAGCCTGTCCCTATGGTACAGTTCCTTCCTGTTCCAATATTGATGACAATGCCCCACGAAATGGAACCCTTCTTTCCCACATCATTTGTTTAGCCATGTTTTTACTTCCCTAACTTTCTTATGTCTATGCCAATTTACATGTGGTTCAGGTAATCAGTGTTTGGAAACCTTGAGGTCCTGCCTGTAATATTGTTCTGAATTTTTGATATTCCCTATAATAGGACCTCTTGCCCATACTGTCGGTTCCAACATGGACCACAGTAACTAGATCCTCCCCCCACTCCATGCCAATATCCTTTCAAGCTGGTCTGAGATGTCCCTTATCTTGGCATCAGGCAGGCAACACACCATGCAGAACTCTCATTCTTGCATTCAAAGGTCATATCTGTACCCTAAATTATAGAATCCCCTACCACTACCACTTTCTTTTTTACTCTCCTGCTTGAATGGCCTCCTGTACCATGCTGTAGTGATCAAGTTGCCCATCCTTCCTACAATTCATTTTCTCATCCACACATCAAGCAAGTAACTCATACCTGTTGGACAAGGTCAAAAGCTGAGGCTCCTCCAATGCTAAATTTGGGTTCTCTCTATCTGCCTCACTTGTACTCACATCCTCCTGTCCCTGATCACTGGGCACATTTGAAGTACTTAATCCACAGTGTGACTGCCTCCTGAAACAAAGCATTCCCCTCCCTGATGTGTCACAGTGTTCAAAGCTCACACTCTAGTTCATCAACTCTGAGCTGGCATTCCTCAAGCAATCAAGACCTATGGTTCAAGCTGGAAGCTAACTAAATAGAAAATTCAATGGATCAACTTCAAAAGGGCAACTTAGTGAATAATTGAGAGGAAAGAATGTAAAGGGCTCTCTGGGGACAGAGTTGGTGAAGGGGATAAATAGAATAGCTGTTGCCAAGGGTGAACATAGGGCCAAATGGCCTTCATCTGAAATTTATTGTTCACTGATTCCATGTCAAAAAATAGTATTTAACTTTAAAAATAAGCAAGCAAGCTCAAAAAGTTCAAATTACAAAGTACCCTTGATGTACCAAACCATTGCATAAACTACTAGCTGCATCTACAGTGATCCTTATGTAATTCCCTGTCAAACGTACTTGGAGACTGCATTGTTATAAGTGACTGAGTTTGATTTCAATGCACATTTGTATTTTGTAATCATTCTCCACTCCTTGCATTTTGCTGAAGAAATTACCCGTTTTTTGGGAGAGATATCGCTACAGTTTCATAAAGGAGTCTTATTTGTTGTAGCTCAAAGACATAATTTTAAAATAAACTCTATAGACTGTTTCCTGCAGTTCATTGTTTAAATAGATTTTGCTAAATAAATGGACTTTGTTGGCTGTAAGATAGACTGTGCTAAATTCCGTCATAATACTGCCTCATCTCCCACTCTTTGGCGGATGCACTGGTGTCAATAGGTATTTTGCATATTTTATAGGCATACTTAGCTAATGCTTGTTGAAAATAATTTATAGAAAGGCTGCACAAATTTCACGGCCCCTCGACTGACTAGCCTATTGCAAAAGTCTTCTTCCTCCACCAATGGTTTGATATGGAATATACTGTTAATGATCTAGCTCACCAGCAGAAATTTTTAGTCATCTTTAGAGATGATTTTTGATTTTAAAGTTTAGTAATAATTTTTCAATGTTTTCCATTATTAAAAAATACACTTAAAATAAAAGATACGCAAATCCAAACTGGAGTAATGCCATCCCACCCAAAATATTATAGCCTCACTATGAGGGTGAAGAACATAGTGCTACAGTTTGTATGGATTAACAACATGGATATAGGTTCAGAACACTTATCAGAACATTACAGACAACATTTATGCAAACTAAAAATAAATTAATTTTGTTTTAAATATTAGCTTGGTTCAGTGGCGCTACTCTTGCCTCAGAGTCAGAAGGTGACTGGGTCAAGAGCTCCATTCCAGGACCTGCAGACATAATCTGGGCTAATACTGGGATTCCCTCCCTAAATTTCTCTGTCACTACCTCACGCTCATCCTTTCACAAGTGTTGTTCATGAGCTGCAGTGTCAGAGCTGGTAATGTTTGGACGAGTTTCTAAATCAAGGTCCTGTTCACTCCAAGATGGCATTTTTTCCATATCATGGCCAATGAACCCACCTCCAAACTAAAAACCCATCAAACTCATATTAAGCAATTACTTACCTCATTTTCTATTTGTGACATATTGCTGTTTGGTAAAAAGAATGTCTGCAGTTCAAAACTAAATTCATTTTGTTATATATTCATTCACAGGATGTGCATTTTGCTGGCTCGGCCAGTATTTATTGCCCAACCCTAATTGCCCAGAGAGCAGTTAAGAATCAATGACATTGCTGTGGGTCAGGAGTCACATTTAGGTGAGACCAGTTAAAGGACATTAGCGAACCAGATGAATTTTTCCAACAATTGACAATAGATTCACAGTTATCATTAGACTCTTAATTCCAGATTTTTATGAATTCTAATTCCACCAACTGTCATTGCGGGATCTGAACCCGAGTCCCCAGAATATCACTTGGGTCTCTGGACTAACAGCCCAGTGATAATACCACTGGACTGTCAACTCCCTGAATTCACTTGGGACAACCTCAAACAAAATCAGCATCACAGGTTGAAATATGAAACACCACCAGAATTGGGAACGGAGATGAGATCCTGATTAAAGTAGCACCAGCTCTCCAGCTTCATCACATTCTCATTCCCAGCCATTTCCTGATAGCTTGATGGGAGGGGCTCAGATCTTCCCCTTGGCCTCTGGTTCCCAAAGGTGGTGGGGGCTAGTTTAGCTATCTGGAAATGGCCTCCTGGTGGCAGAATTATGGGAGGTGTAGAGTTGTGTAGGACCAACACTGAAGGCAGAACTGGATGTCTCCCCTGCCTGACTGAATGCACCAGCAGGCCCAGGCTACCCTGTAAACTCATAAGCCCATTCAGCCAATTGAGCTTGCCCCTCAATTCTATAACATCTGCTCTGATTTATAGCCTTAATTCAGCTTTCCTGTCTGCCACCCCCTATTAACCCTTGACTCACTAGTTAATCAAAAATCTGTTTAATTTAGCTTTGAATATACTCAGTGAACAAGCTTCTACGACTTTCTGTGAAAGAGAATTCCAAAGTCTAATGACCCTCAGAAAAAAAACTTTCTTTATGTCCATCTAAATCAGACATCCCTTATTTTTAAATTGTCTTCCCTGCTGTCCACCCCGACCACAGCAGTGATCCTGTAGCAGAACCCACTTTTGTTTTAAATTGCAAAAAATGGATAGAGTGTCTTCATTTACCTGCTATGGCATTCTGTTACTGTTTTCTTGCTATACGTCCTTTGATTAGTTCTTCACCTTCACCTATCATTTTTAATTGGATTATGAACCCACCCTATGACTATTATGTGGATGCTTCCAGAAAAATCAACCTGCTACCTGGGTTCAAATGCCTGCGAGGATAATCTCACTAAATCTAAAAATATACATTTTGTTTTTCTCTATCAAGAACTGTGTCAGATACTTCAGACAAGCCATGCTGCTTCATACAAGTGTTATTAGGCCAAATCTTTGCCACAAGATTCAAGCAGACATATTAGGATAGGTGAAAGTAAGGATTACCTTAAATGTGAGAGAAATATGTTGAAAAAGAGAGAGATTTAGGGAGGAAATTCAAGAGACCTGAGAGGGATGTGGAGATAAGGGATATAGGAGGGGTGGAGCAATAGAAAGATTTGAAATCAAGGACAAGCATTTTAAAGATAAAAATTACTGAATTTTAAGCCAATATAACATACTGAAATCAGGATTGTAAGTGATTGCATTTGATATGAGTTAGAATACGTACAGCAGAGTTTTAAGTGAGCCCACATTTGTGGAGGATGAAAAGTAAAGATCATCATAAGGTTTTGTTCATCCTTAGTGATAGGTAAATATTGTTTTGCAAACCGCACCTGTGACAACCACTCCTCATCTTCTTGACCACTGTTGTCTGATCCCAGGCTGTCATAAGACTCATGGCGTATAAAACTGGGTGCTGGACTGACAGGCGAAACCACTATTATGAGAAGAAAACAACGTTATTATCACATTAGCAATCTAACAATGGCATGATTTCAGTTTAACTCTGTGGTAAGCACTTCTTTTGTTGTACTTCATTGCAAGATGGTCAACTGTTGTGTTTTAAAGACTTGATGGGTGGATGAGCTCTAAATATTGATACATTTCCAGCAAACTTTGAGAAAATCTCTAAAATCCCAGTGAGGTCTGGAAAATACTGATTCACACCTGCATATCCATTTCCCTTTGAGAAGGCTCACATAATTACAAATGGAGGATCCATCACCAAGTCGTGACACATTTTCAGGACACTAGCAAATACTGTCTTACTCCTAAGGATTTCCTACAAATATTTTCACCAACATCCACACAATCCCAAACAAGATTTAAAAATACTCACACATTTTGAAATTTTCAGTTCTAAACTTCAAAAGGTACAATCAACTACCCAAAGGAAACCAACCATCACTGCTTAAAGTATCTATTTGAGTACAACTGAGAAAGTGAGAATACCTATCTAAGTCAACAAGTACAAAACAAAGAAAAATGATCCTTTGTACAGATTTCAAATAGCATGTAGTACTCTTGGCTTTAAATCTTTGAATATTTGATAGCTTCGAGGTTTTTGTCTTCTCCTTCTAGGCTCTAGAGAGTTTCATGAACCCTGACAGTCAATACCAGTAAATGGCTATTTAAATGTTACACAGAGTCGTCGAGTCATAGTCATATAGCATGGAAACAAATCCTTCTGTCCAACCAGTCTATGCTGATCATCACCCCAAACTAAACTAGTCCCACCTGCCTGTGCTTGGCCCATATTCCTCCAAATATTTCTTATTCATGTACTTATCTAAATGTCTTTTAAATGTTGTAACTGTACCCACCCACATACACCATTTCCTCTGGAAGTTCATTCCACACACAAACCACTCTCTGTGTAAAAAACTTGCCCCTCATGTCTTTTTTAAATCTTTATTCTCTCACCTTGAAAATACGTCGACTAGTTTTGAAATCCCCCACCCGAGGGAAAAGACACCTGCCATTCACCTTATCTATACTCCTTATGATTTTACAAACCACGATAAGGTCATCTCTCAACCTCCAGTGAAGAGAATCCCAGCCTATCCAGCATTTCCTTTTAACTCATACCCTCCATTCCCATGAACACATTGGTATTTTCTCCAAAACCCTTTCCTGGTTAATCATACACTTCCTATAACAGAGTGACCAAAACTGGATACAATACTCCAGAAGAGGCCTCACCAACGTACTTTACAACCTCAACATAATGTCCCAACTCATATACTCAAAGGTGTGAACATTGAAGGCAAGTATATTAAACACCTTCTTAACCACCTTTTAATTTTTAATTTTAATTGTGTAAGCTCTGCCCTTGTTTGTTTTACCAAAATTCAACACCTAGCATTTATCCAAATTAAACTCCATCTGCCACTCTTCAGCCCATTGATCCAATTGATCAAGATCTCTTTGTAATCTTAGATAACCTTCTTCATTGCCAACTATGACACCAATCTTGATGTCATCTGCAAATGTGCTAACCATGCTTTCTATATTCTCATCTAATAAATGACAAACAAAAATGGACCCAGCACCAATCCCTGTGAAACACTGCTGGTCACAGGCCTCCAGTCTGAAAAACAGCCCTCCACCATCTCTGTCTTCTGCCACCAAGTCAATTTTGTTTCCAACTGGCAAGCTCACCCTGAATCCTATGTGATCCAAATTTACTGATTAGTCTACCATGTAGAGCTTTGTCAAAGGTTTTACTAAAGGCCAAGTAAACAATGTTTACTACTCTGCCCTCAATCTTCTTGGTTACTTCCTCAAAAAGACTAATCAAGTTTGTGAGACACAATTTCCCTCGCACAAAACCATGCTGACTATCCCTAATCATTCTTTGCCTCTCCAAATGCATATAAGTCCTACCTTTCAGAATCACTTCCAACAATTTACCCACCACCGAAATCAGATTCACGGCTCTATAGTTCTTAGATCTGCTCCTTACATCCCTTCTTAAGCAAAGGCACAACACTAGCCACTCTCTAGACATTTAACACCTTCACCCATATTATAGATGATACAAATATTTCTGCAAGGGGATCCACAATGTCCTTCTAACCTTCCACAAAGTCCTGGGATACACTAGATCTTGTCCCAATGATTTATCCACCTTTATATTTTCTAAGACCTCTGGCACTCCATCTTCTGTAATGTGAACTGTTTTATAAACATCGATATATATTTCCTTGAGCTCTCTAGCCTCCATTTCTTTCTCCACATTAAAAGCTGACGTGAAATATTCATTTAATACCTCTCCCTTCTCCTGAGGTTCAACTCAAAAACAACTTCTTTGATCTTTAAGGGGCCCTACTCTCTCTCTAGTTACTCTCTTGCTCTTAATGTACTAATAGAATCTCTTTGGATTATCCTTAACCTTATTTGCCAAGGCTATCTCATACCCTCTCTTTGCCTTCCTGATCTCCCTCTCAAGAATGCCCCTACATTCTTTATACTGTTCAAGAGATTCATTTGCGCTCACTTGTTTTTATCTAATATATAATTCTTTTTTATTATTGACTAGAACTTAATATCTTTATTCATACATTGTTCTTTAATCCTATCAGCCTTACTTTTCACTCTAACAGGAACACAATAACTCTGAACTCTCGTTATCATACTTTTGAAAGCCTCTCACTTATCAGACGTCCCTTTACCTGTGAGGTAAGCTCCAATCAGTTTTTGAAAGCTCTTGTCTCATACCATTAAAATTTGCCTCACTACAATTAAAAACTATTTTTTTATGGAGGGCTTATCCTTTTCTATTTCTATTTTAAAACAAATAAAATTCTGATCACTAGACCCAAAGTGTTGCCCTACCATCGCTTTAGTCACTTGCCCTGTCTTATTACCTGAGAAGGTCAGGCTTTGCTCCTTTTCCACTAGGAATATTTACATATTGACAAAGAAAATTTTCTTGAACATATTTAACAAATTATTCACCATCCAAACCTTTAATACTATGGTAGTCTCAGTCAATGTTTGGAAAATTAATATCACCTACTATTACAACCTTATAATTCTTACATATATCTGATATCTCTCTACATATTTGTTCCTCAATTTCCCGCTGACTATTGGGGGGTCTATAATACAATCTCCTCAAGGTGATTATTCTTTTTTTATTTCTAATTTCAACCTATATATTTTCACTGGATGATTTTTCAGAAATATCTTCTCTAGTCACAGCAGTAATATTTTCCTTAATCAAAAATGCCACTCCCCTCCTCTTTTGCCTCTCTTTCTATCCTTCCTATAGTATTTGAAACTCAGAATATTGGAGCTGCCAGTCCTGTCTACCTCTCAGTGAAGTTTCTGTAATAGCTATAATGTTGCAATCCCATGTTGCCAAACATGCCCTGAGTTTGTCAGCCTTACCTATGAGACCCTTTGCATTGAAATATATGCAGTTTAATTTTTCAGAGTTAATTCGTCCTCTGACTTGCTCTTGCCTGTCTTTTCTAATTAATTTGTTCTTTTCAAATTCAAAACTATCCTCATCTATCCTTCTATTTATTCTGCTACTTAGGATTCCTCCACTCCCTCTCTCTAAGAGTTTACAGAATCCCTTAGTAGAATTAGCAAATCTTTTCGGTAAGATATTGGTCCTTTTCCAATACAGGTGAAAACTATATTTTTTGAACTGGTCTTTTCTGCCCCAGAAGGGATCCCAAAGATCCAAGAACCTGAATCCCTGAATATTCACCATCTCTTCAGCCATTGATTTATCTCCTTTATCCTTTTTATCTTTCCCTCATTTGAGCTTGGCTCCAGAAGTAAACCAGAGATTATTACTTTTGAGGTTCTATTTTCTAATCTTCTACCTAACCTCTTATATTCACTCTGTAAAGCCTTAATCTTTTCCCTAATTATGTCATTCCTACCATTGTGTACAATGACTTCCAGATTCAATAAGAATCTCAGAATTTGTCAGTTATACTTTAACAACCTGAAAACTTGTGGACAGTTGCATTGTATTTGAATCTGGATGTTGTGAAGTAATTCAGGGAGAGCTATTCAGCTCAGTTAGCTCTCATAATTCTCTTTCTCAGTCCCTTTATGTCGTTTTCTGTTTCCCTGTGTCTCTCTCTCTCTTTGCTTGTCAACTAGAGATATTTGCCTCTATTTTAGACGTGTCGATGTAACTGTGGGAAAGACCTAGTTATTGCAAATGTTTCCTGTCCACAGAACAATCAAATTTATGAAGGAAGTGCTTGCAGCAGGAAATTCCTCTCTGCAATCATTTCCTCAACTTCCGAGGAAGAAGTCAGTATGGCTCTGACCTGCTCTTCACAGAAACAAATCTAGGGCATGGCAGCACGAGCAAATGACAGTTCATCTGACCACCAATTACAATTATGAGTTCAATTCCTCTTTAATGATAACATACTGTGGTCTGAACTGTTTTATGCTGGAGACACAAGGAGAAATCTGTTGGAGACAGATTGTGTCTGCTCATGTCAACCTAACGAGAAGCAGTTGTTTCCTGTTCACTGAATAACCTGTTTGCCAATAATCATTCAGTTATCAGGAAGTGAGTGAGAGTCATAAACAGCTGAGTGGTGTGCAGTCGCGTTGTTTAATATGGGAGCACTTGCTATTAGTCATTTAGCATATACACTCTGTCTCATCCTCTCTAGAGCTTATTATAAAAGGATTTACAACATGGAAATCTCCTTTAGAAAAAAGTCATTCATTCATTGTCAGGTGCAGCCTATTAACATCAAATACAGTAACATCGTGAAATAAAGTCCACACTTGCGATTTCCGCCAACGTATGTAAAACATTCATGAATATTACGCCATGCATGAATATAGCCTGAAGCATAGAGACAGCTGTTCCACACTCAATCCCTCATCCTCATTTAAACACACACAAACACACACACACACACGCACACACACACACGCACAAACACA